CAACCCTTTCTAACCCACGACCAGCACATCAGTATGTGTCTTGTTTAGTTATTCATATCTCTACTCAATAAACTGTGAGCTCCCAAGCAGAGGGGCTCGTCTGTCCTCACCGCCCTGGAGCCCCCACGCCTCTTACAGCTCCAGCATACAGCTAAGTGTTTACAAACTTCATGAATGAATGAATGATGCATTCTATCTTATCCTCTACCTTACGGTCACATATTCTTTCTTTTCCTTCACACTCCCTTCGCCCATCTAAGAAGGTTTGCCCTTCCACCCCAGCCTCGTTTCTTGCTCACCGTTTCCTGCCATCATTAACCAGCAGAACCACGTGGACCCTGCCCTCATGCAGCACAGCATCCATGATGGAAGGGCACCCTGGAAAGCCAAGACCTCCAGGAGGAGTGTTGAGGGGCAGGGTCTTCGTGACCAGTTAGATAAAGTGCGCAGCTGCCGAGGGCTCTCGAGGTCCTGAATTCAGGCGATGTTTGCCCTCCATTAGTGGACAACTGCTGCAACCTGTAGGTGCTCCCGGGCTCTGTCCATTTGGCTAGGGTGTTACGTAGGCCAGTCCTGCCTTCAGCTGGATCCTCAAGCAGGTTCCATGGCCCCCGCCCCATGCAGATGTCTGGGAGCCCACTCCCCAGAGATGACCATCACCTCCAAGTGTGTCGAGAAGAAGAACTCAGGGGGCAGGGGGCAGTGCCCTTCTTGACCATGGATGCTGGGCCCTGGTGGGCTGCAGGCCCAAGCCCAAAGGCTCTGCCACCCTCCGAAGTGGAGACACAGAAGGAAGGAGGTGGGACACCCAGAGCAATCTGAATTCCAGACACACAACCAACAAGGCTTTCATGTGTCCCCCAGTTTCCTGAAGGGAGGCATCACGTGTGGAAGAGGGCCAGCACCCAAGAAGCAGCCCTTCAACAACACCGTGGCTTCACCAACAGGCTCCGGTACAGCAAACTGTGGGGCTGTCCCAGGACCTCGTCCTTCCCTCTGTCACCTGTAGGGTCGCTGAGTCGCAGCTGACCCCAAGCACCTCATGGCAACAACAAATAGTCTTTTCAGAACAAGGTTGCCCACTTACTGCATGAGACTTGTTCGTACTGTGAAACTTAAGTCTACTGAAAAATCAGTCACCGTTTATCTGAAATTCCAGTTTACTGGGGTGGCTATGTTGTAGCTGGCACCCCTCAGAGACAGGGCTGGAATCGAATACAAATAGCAGCAGTGTCCTGGGGAGGGGCTCCGGATGGTGGGAAGCCAGAGTCCTGGTGAGCTGGGACCTTGAGGGGCAGATGACGTCGGCTCTTTCATGCCAGTTAAGGAGCCACAGACCACCCGTCAGAACTCCCAGCTCGTGATGATCATGGGATTGAGATGAGGGGGGAAAAGTGAGACTGAGCGGCGAGCAGGGCTCACACGGGAGACAGAGAGTGCAGCCCACAGAGGCCCGCCTGGAGGGGAAGGTAAGTGCTGGCTGCCGACTCCTAACCCCTTGTCCTAAAAGCTTTGGAAGTAGATGAGGAGGTTCTGGGTTCAAGCTCACCTTTACCTTCTTGATCTAGTTAAATTCTTCCTTACTGCTTAAAATTCCCTGACTTCTGAAGTTCACCACATCCCCCAGATCCTCTCCCCATCCTCTTAGACTTCAGAGATGAAGAGCAGAGACCCCGGAGAGGCCAGTGATCAGGCGAGGAGAAGGCACTTCCATGCACTGCATGTGGGCTTGGTACCTGAAGGATCTTAGGGGCACAAGGCACAGAGAGCTGGGCCGCTGACCAAATGGTTGGTGGCCAGGATCCACCAGCGCCCCCAGGACAAATATGGGCAGGTTCCTTCCATCATGAGGTGAAATGGACACAGTGACTGTAACCATGGGCTTGAACAGCAAGTCAGAGGTCACGGCCACGGCGCAGGACGGACATCTGCTGTTCCTCAGAATCATGATAGTGAACACAACAGCACCTAACAATCTCCTGGAAAGACGTCCAGCCTTGGACACCCACCGGAGGGTCACTGTGAGTCAGAAGGCTTTGATGCCAGGGAGTGGGCTCGTCTGGGGGTTTCTCTGGACTGCCACCTAAGTGTGGATCACAATGGCCTGACCTGACATAGACATGGACGGCCCAGACCGGGCAGATTCAGCCCCCTCACACGGACACAGCCAGGCAGATTCGGCCCCCGACACAGACACAGCCAGGCAGATTCCAGCCCCCGACACAGACAGGGACGACCCAGGCCGGGCAGATTTGACCCCCTTGAAACAGACAGGGATGGCCCATGCTGGGCAGATTCAGCCCTCGGACACCGACATGCATGGCCCAGGCGGGGCAGATTCCAGCCCCTGACACAGACATGGCAGATTTGATCCCCAGACACAGACATGGATGGCCCAGTCCAGTCAGATTCCAGCCCCCTCATACAGACATGGCCGGGCAGATTCGACCCCCTTGAAACAGACATGGACGGCTCAGGCGGGGCAGATTCCAGCCCCTGACACAGATATGGACGGCGCAGTCCAGGCAGATTTGATCGCCAGACACAGACATGGACGGCCCAGGGAAGGCAGATTCCGCCCCCTGGCAGACGGGCTGCTCACGTGCTGGACGCTGACACCACCAGGTGCCAAGGCTCCGAGCCTCAGGCATTTACTAGGTGTCACAGGTATGTCCTGACTCCCCGCCAAGCCCACGTACACGGATCTAACCCTTGCCCTGCTCCAGGACGTCCTCACAACCTCCACCATTCTCAAGCCCAACATTGCAGTCAGCGTGTGAGTCCGCCTTGCGGAGGGTCCTCCTCTCCTCTGACCTTCTACTTGCCCCAGCTTGATGCCTTTTCCCGAGGACTGTCCCCTCTGACAGCACGTTCTGAGTGTGTGAGATGAGGGCTCACCTCCCAGGAGCTCCCTGGTGGCACTCCCTAGAACAGACTTGTTTGTTCTTTTGGCTACTCATTCAATACTCTCTGCCAACACCTCTCAAAGACTTCAGTTCTTTGCTCTTCCGTATTCATTGCTCGACTTTCACATACATAGAAACGAGGGGAAACACCACAGCTTGAAGCAAGAGCTTGAGACACAGACTTCCAAAAACAATATAATGGAGAGTTCAGTGCGCCTTACACCTGCATTTGAACACAGGGCTTGCCCCTGCACCAGTTGTTTGAGATGAGCAGTGAACTCAGCTCCTGCCTTCTGGAAGCCTCCATACAGCTACCATTCCCCAGGGGAAGCACTGGCCGGGGAATCCTGCTCGTTGAGGGCTGCGCTGGAGCTCATCTCTCTAACTCTAAAGTGCCCCAGCCTTCAAAGGGAAGAGAAATGCACAGGGACAGGAGGGAAGCTTCCAGAACAGGCACACTCTAGTTGTGATACTGCTGTTCCCAAGTTTTGTGTTTATCTGGTTTTATGTGGATTTTTTTTAAGTTCTTCCTTTTTTCTTTTCCTTCTTTCATCTTTTTTTTTTTTTTTTTTAAATCATATCTTAAGACTAGGGAGCTCTGGTGGCGTTGAGAGTTGCATTGTTAACCCTGGGACCGTGCCTCTCCAGGGATTCAAACCTACCAGTGGCTCCGAGGGGGAGAGATGGGCAATCTCTTCACATGCAATTTACAGTCTCTGAAAAATCTGATGGGGGGGGGGTGGTTTACCCAGGAGTCAGTCCCATTCGACCGCAGTGAGCGAGTTAGAAGAGAGTCATGAGACTTGAATTCCTCAACCACTTAACCCTCAGCGATTCAAGATCAGACAGTAGTACAGTAACGAACAACCTGGTCAACTGCTTTGATGAAAATCAGAGCCAAAAACCCCGCAAAAGCCCCCACAAACCTACCACCAGCTCTCTGGGGAGCAGTTCTGCTGTGCCCCACAGGGTCGCTGGGAGGTGGAATGAACTCAGCAGGAAGGGCTCTCACGAGACGTGAGTGGAGAGAAGCAGAATGGATGCAGGCTTGGGCTGTGGGCGTCAGACACATCCAGGTCCGCTTGTTCTGGGAGGAGAACGGTGAGCCAAGACCCGTACCGGCTGGTCCTTTTCAGAAGGTGTCACACTCAGCTCCTCTCTCTTCACCTTGTGACCAGATTCAGGACAAGGAGGTCACATGACGTCACCAGAGCCCCCAGTCTGTCCCGGGTTGTTGCAGGGTGCCGGCAAGTCGACCTGGATCATGGTGGCCCGGGGGACAGAGTGGGACCACGGGTTTTCCTGGGCTGTGATTCCAGCAGCAGACAAACAGGCCTTGCTCCCAAGGAGTCACGGGGTGGATTTGAATCTCTAGCCTTCTGGTCTGCAGCCAGGACTCCATTAAGGACCACCACATTCGAGAGAAGTAACTCCTCTTATTAAATTTTCTTAACCACAGCCTTCAGCCAGAGAAGACAGAGAGAATAAAAACCTCAGGGTTTGTTTGGTTCTGCGTTGTGTCCACTACCAGTTTATGTGTTAGAATCAGATTGAAATCCAAGGGAACATTCCTTCCATTTCCACAAAAAGAACTTAATTTGAGTGCTTTTCTTCTGCTTATATTTTCTTCTTTAAGCTTAATTTCAATTTGCTGGGAGGGATTGAAGCCCCAGTGGTATAAATAGTTAAACTCTGGCAGCAAACTGAAAGGTTGGTGGTTCGAAACCATTGTCTAGGGGTGCCTCAGAAGAAAGGCCTGGAAAACTGCTTTGGGAAGTCACAGCTCTGAAAACTCTACCTAGCAGTTCCCCTCTGCAAGCCCCAGGCTCCACGAGTCAGCAATGACAGGACAGCAGCTGGGTTTGGTTTTAGGGGAGTGGAGGTTAGAAACCCAAGTTCCTTCCAAAGCCCTTGATACCAAATCCTGAAGGCAGCAGGTATGAACCGGGGCAGAGATGCCAGGGGCTCCCAGCTGTGACTGCCGTTCACCCAGAGAGAATGTCCTGGGGTTCTTGAAGGGGGTTGAGCAAGGACTCTGTGGATGCCTTCAGTGATGCTCTGTGGTCCTTCTGTTAGGTGTCCTGACCTCACAAGATGCCAAGAGATGATACTTACCTCGTGTATGGTCATATGAGGAGGGGGCACAGCCATGGCTCCGTCACAGCTGAAGAGTAAGTGCAGACCAGATGCAGGGGGCTCCTGGGGTCATTGCTGATGCTGCCTGCTGACCGCCACCTACCCACCCTTGTCCCCTCCCCTGAGAGCGAGTGCCACTCATTTGGGGACCCTGAGGTCCCACAAGCACTTGGGGCTCTGAGAGCTGGGGGCTAGGATGCAGGAGCCGGGGGTCGCCTGTCTACCTCCCTGGATACGGGGTCCCTGGGTGGTGCAAGTAGGTAACATGCTTGGTTGCTAACTGGAAGTCTGGAGGTTCAAGTTTACCCAGAGGCCCCTCAGAAGAGAGGTCTGGAGACTACTCACCCCAAAGTCAGCCCTTGAGAACCCAGTGGTTCTTCTTGTTCTATTGACACAAGTGGGGGGTCCAGGAGTTAGGACTGACTCGATGACTAACCCAACATGCAGATGTCAAAGGAGATAACTGCTGGGAGGCCTGAGTTCTGGGGGCTTTGTGGGAAGGAGCTGCCACCGTCAATCCAGTGGCACATGGGTCAAATCTACCTGTCACTCTGTGCGAGAAGGATGGGCATTCTCTTCCCATGCAATCCACTGCCTCTGAAAACCGACTAGAGGGTCAGCCATGGGTTGGTTCTGGCTTGAAGGTACACAACAAGAAGTCCTTGGGGCCCTGGTGTTGTCGTGGTTGAAGTGCTTGGCTGTTAACTGAAAGCTCAGCAGTTCAAACGCATCAGCCACTCCGGAGAAGATGTAGCTAGCTGTCTGCTTCAATGGAGAGACACGTAGTGACCCTCTGGGGCAGCCCCACTGAGCCCTGTGTGTCAAGAGAGACTTGACTCTCCTGAGGGTTCCATATCACTAAGAGCATCACGTGGTGTGGCGGGTCTGGGTTTCTGGGGTGAGGAGTCCCTGGGTGGTGGATCATGGCGCTGGACATGGCAAGGTGAGAGAGAGGTCCAGTCCACCCAGAGGCACCGCAGAAAAAAATACTGATGATTTGCTTCTGAGAAGACAGCCATCAAAAGCCCTGCGAGCGCAGCTGGACTCTGCACACGAGGTCACCGGGGGTCAGACCAGACTTGGCTGCCACTGTCCTGCTCTGCTTCCAGACCTTGGCCTCAGGTCCCCAAGCTTAGAGTCACTCAGCTTTCTGCCAGGGATTTTGACACCTTGTCCCTCTACTCAGACCCTGAGGGTGTGACAGGCACGTGCAACTCAACCCATATGCGCACTATCGGTCATATTTGAGCAGAGACAAATACTTGGGATAATGAATTAGTAAAAAACAGTATACAATTAAGTAGTCCTAAGGGCTGAAAGCAGAGAGTACCAGAGGAATGCCTACCTGTGTTTCACTGACTATGCAAAGGCATTTGACTGTGTGGATCACAACAAACTGTGGCTGACTCTGGGAGAAATGGGAATCCCAGAACACTTGATCGTGCTAATGCGAAACCTATACTTGGACCAATAGGCAGTCATCGGAACAGAGCAAGGAACCACCACTTCGTTCAAAATTAGGAAAGGTATATATAAGGGATGTGTCCTATCTCCGTACCTTTTCAATCTCTGTGCTGAACAGAATATCTGGGAGGCTGGGCTCTATGAGGAGAAATGGGCATCAGGTTTGGAGGAAGATTCATCAACAATCCATGTTATGCAGATGATACAACCCTACTTGGTGAAACTGAGGAGGACCTGAAGCACTTGCTGCAGAAGGTCAAAGACTGCAGCCTTCAATATGGATTGAAGCTCAATATTAAGAAAACAAAGATTCTCACCACTGGGCCTATTGGCAGCATCATGATAAATGGTGAAGAGATTGAGATTATTAACAGCTTCAGTTTGCTTGACTCTACAATCAACACTCTGAGCACCAGCAACCAGGAAATTAAAAGATGGATTGTGTTGGGAAAGTCTGCTGTTAGAGACCTCTCTAAAGTACTGAAGAGCAACAGTATCAGTCTGGAGACTAAGATGCAACTGATTCAGGGTCTTTGCAATTACTTGCTATGCATCAGAACACTGGACAGTGACTAAGGTTGATAGAAGAAGAATTTATGCCTTTTTTGAGCTATGGTGCTGGAGAAGAGTATCAAGTATACCATGGACTGCTAGGAGAACAAACAGGTTCGTCTTGGAGAGGGTGAAGCCAGGCTGCTCCTTGGAGTCAAGGATTCTGAAACTCCGTCTGACATACTTTAGACATGTTGCAAGGAGGGACCAGTCCTTGGAGAAAGACGTCACTCTTGGGAGAGTGGAGGGACAACACAGGAGAGGAAGACCCTCAATGAGGTGGAATGATTCAGTGACTGGGGCAATGGAGGTAGGTGTGTTGGAGACAATAAGATTGGCAGAGGATAGAGCCGGGTTTAGGGCTATTGTACAGAGGGTTGCTGTGAGTCGCAGGTGACTCAATGGCCTGTAACAGCAACAAGGGCGAAGTCTTGGATCTCCATCATGCTCAAGCCCGTTGTAAACTGTGTCAATCCATTTCGTTGTATCTTCCCACCAGTGTTGTAGTTGCTGTGTGCTATCAAGTGGGAACCAACCCATCCTCCAGCAGTTTTAGAGGCAGTAAATTCATGGGAGGAGACTATTTTTCTCCAGCAGAGTCAGTGGATTTGAACCATGTACCTTTGTGTTGGCAGCACAATTCCTTACCACTAAGCTACCGGAGTAGTCAGGGCAGTCATGTCATACCATCCCATTGAGGAGCACTACAGAGATTGTGATAATGGTGCAGGACAGGATGGGGTTCAGGTCTGTTGTTCGTAGGGTTGTGATGAGTCTTAGTTGACTCGACACTGAACAACAAGCATTGGATGTGGGCTCAAGATACTATTCTTATCTTTGGAAAATCAGTCTCGTGGGAGTCAGGCATGGGAATCATCGATGTGGCTGAGGGAGAAGGCCCCCCAGGCTGGTGCTGGGACAGTGGAGACTCAACAGCACAAACATGGTGCAGGGCTTCTCCACGGACTTTCTTCTACGTGGTCTCTGGGGTGAAGTCCATCCGAGCAGGGCGGCCAGTGAGAACTGCCCTGACACCAGGCCCAGGGATCGGGTCTGCGGAGTCGTGGGTGTTCACGTTTGTTCTCATGAGGCACACACAGCACTACCCTCCACGTCCGTGTTCCCGGCTGTGGACGTGCAGAGCAGAGGGGTGCCTACCCCCAGGGCTGCTGTGAGAAGCCAACACTCTAACACATCTCAGATGCTGCGGCTCTGAGGAGAGGTTTTGTCAGAAGGGATTTCCACTTACTCATGGTGGCCTGGTAAAAGCATCGAACAACAAAAAAAACAAGCCCACTGGGGTCGAATCAATTCTTACTTAGAGTGACCTTCCCCTGCTTCTCTGGGACCATAAATCTAGCAGGGAGAGATTGCCCATCTTTCTCCTGCAGAACAGCTGGTGGATTTGAACCACTGGTCTTTTGGTTAGTAGTTCTGCAAATAACACACTATATATACTACCAGAGGACTGGTAGTCAGGGAAAAAACGCTTTAAATAAGCCCCGACAAGAAGAAAATAAAGTGAAGTCTGATCACTACTTGGCCCACATGATGGTCGTTTGTCACTGCACCACTTGGCCTGGAGTTGGGAGCTTGGTGGGACAGGGTGGCCTTGAACCTGCAGGCGCACACCGGAGGAGGGCTGTGCCCTGGACCCTGTGGTCTATTGTGTGGGGCGGTGGGGCGTGGTGGGACAAGAATTTGGGACTGGAGGTGCTGCTTTTGACTCGTGGCTCAGAGGAAGAGAGAAAGGTGAAGTGTGGCCTGCTCTAATTAGGAACATGTTTCTGGGCCACTCTGTGCATGTCTGTCTCTCACCCAGGGCCGCGGGGATTGGCATCCTGACGGTGATCTTGGGGGTCCTGCTCCTCGTGGGCTGCTGGTATTGCCGTCGACGGCGGGGATACAGAGTCTTGAGCGTAAGTCTCCATCCCCCTGCTCGGGGCTCCTCCCTAAGCATCCAGATTCCCCTACCCCTTCGGAGAATTTCTCAGGCCTGGGGAAGCACTTTGGTAGCATAGTCCACAAGGAGCTGTACTGCTAACCCAAAAGGGGTGGTTCGAATCCATCGGCCGCTCCAATCGGTTCTGACTCACGGGCAGAGTTTGAGTTAGAGAGGCAGCATTCAGGGGCCCTGCTGGTGTGGCGGTGAAATGTTCGACTGGTAACCAAAAGGTTAGCGGTTCAAAACCACCAGCCAGCTCCTTCTTGGGATAAATTATAGCAGGTGGCTTGTGTAAGGGAGGTACCTTGGAAACTCTTAGGCAGGGTCTACAGGTATATTTCATTTTATTGTAGTTCATTTGGGGGTGATTTATACATATTTAATTTTTAATGATATTTTAATATTGTCTGAATGATATTTTGCAATTTAGTTTTGTGATAATCCTGTGCTGAACAGTCCATAAAGCATCATTTTCCCAAAGCATGTGCTCATTTCCTGTCTCTCTGTCCCATTTCTGTCATTCTGATGGTATTTCAGCTTCCCCTCCACCCCTTGAATTAACAAAAGTTTACTTTTTCACAATGTAAGAGTCTAGAAGGCTGAATTCAGGGCACCGGCCCCGGGGGAGGCTCTGGGGGAAGACTGTCTCTTTTCTGGTTCCTCGGACAGTTCTGAGAGGTTTGCCAGTTCCTACCAAGCTTTTTTGTAATGCTCTTGCACTTCACAGACCCTCACATAGCATAGACATGACTGTTGTTATGTCCTGGGAAGCCAGACAGCTCCATCTCCCTTTCCTAAGCTCTTGCCAAAGTGTCCCCAGTTGTTGAATGCAGTCAAGTCAGGACAGACTCATAGCTGACCCTCCAGTGAGTTTGCAGAGTCAAGAAATCACAAGGGAGGAAATTGCCCATCCGTCTCCCGCTGAGCGGCTGTTGGACTCGAACCAGGAGCCTTCACATTGGCAGCGCAGCTCCTTAACCCATAGTGAAAGGCAGACAGCAGTGGGCTGGGGCTGAGCCTCTCACCCAGCGGCCCGGGATGTGCTGACACCTAGTGGACAGGGGCGGGAGTGGCTAACAAGAAGACGAACATATAGGGCAGCAGCTGAGGCGTGGGATATCGCCTCCCCGTGGCCACGCGTGTTATGACATTGCACTCGGCCTTGTGTTTTTCAGCAATCCAAGGTTTGCAGCAACCTTCTAATCTATTGGTGTGTTTTTTTCCCCCTAACAGCATATGCTCACTTTTTGTCTCGGTGCCACATTTGAGTTATTGTCACCACATTTCAAACTTTTTCATGAAGCTGTTATACACTTGATAAACCACACTAGAGTGTAAACGTAATTTTTTACAGCACTGAGAACCCCAAACATCTGCGTGTGACTTGCTGTATCCAGATAGCCGCTCGGTTGTGGTGATCTGGGCCGAAGCGGCAGCATCTCCAACATGAGCCTGTGTTTTTCTGACTCTTCTGCTCTGCTCTTTCTCTTACTTGTCATTTGGAATGGAAACCATTTCTCACCTCTGGACCCCCAGTGTCAGCACAGCAGTCCTTCAGGTGTAGGTATAGGGTTTGTGCTCACTGTCACCCACTGACTTGCTGGACAACCTTGGACTTGGCCTCCCCTGAGCCTCCTTTGCTCTACGCCTAATGGGCCATCTAGTTTTCCAAACGTAGACACTGAAGCCTCGTGGGGTGCCGGTCTTCCTGACCCACGGGGCCTGTGAGTCCCATGGCAACTCATGTCGTCGACACGATGAAAACACGAGTAATAAAGGCTATTTGGTAGGTACTTTCTTCTGTGTTTTTATATCATTATGTGCTTACATATGAAAACCACAATGGTTTTAGTCTTTGGAAGAAGTCAAAGCTACACCAAGTCGGTGTGATGTCACCATCTCCAGCTACGGGCTTCCTCACTTGAACACAAAGCACTCAGATGCCTCCTCCTCTTCCTGTCTTCCATCCCAGACTCATTCCACTGAGGGGTGACAGGAGGGTGTACACTGTGTGCTGAGACAGACCATTTTGATCAATAACTTTCACATGCAACCTACCTATAATCAATGTTTCTAGACTTTTTATGAAATACAAGTGCTTGTTTAACTATCCTTGTTCCCCGAGCACCCTAGTGGCATATCAAGAAGTCAGCATGGTGGCTGAGTGGACAATCAGCTACCCACCAAAATGCCAGTCACTGTCACCCTCACAGTCACTGTCGCCCCACAGTCACTGTCACCCTCACAGTCACTGTCACCCTCACGGTCACTGTCGCCCGACAGTCTCCCATGCCGACCTTCAGGGCGCATCCTAGGTGCTTACCTGAGTTAATCCCAGACCCCAGCGGGCAGGAGGCATGGTCCTCAGCAGACGGGCCGGCCAAGGCTCAGGACAGTGAGGTGACTGGCTTAAGGAAGAGTCGAGATGAAATCCTCTCTCTTAAAACTTGAGCTTCCTTTCCTTTCTTGGATGGACTCCAGCGTGTTTTCTCATCCTGTGACCCCACGATTTCACATTTCAGGACAAAAGCCTTCATGCTGATGGTGAGAGTGCTCTGCCTGAAAAATCCCTGTGCAAGGAGCCTGCCCGGCAGGACAGCAAGCTACCTTCTCAAGAGCACAGCCGTGCGCCTGTGGTGGGTGGAGAGCCTGCTTCCCGGAGGCTTGGGGTCTGGAATAAAAGTATGTCCATAAAAAACAGACCAACACAGGACACACAGATAGGTTCTTACACTGTGCCCTCCCACACCCAGGTTTACCAGGTACTAACGAGAGTCACAGGTAAGATTCAGAACTTGGTCTTTAACAATCTCGCCTGGCTGGTGCCGGCATTCCTCTGCTCCTGCCCCAGCCGCTCCATGATGGGCCGAGTTAAGTATCATTAAGATGACTTACACCTGTTTACTTCTTCATGCGCTAATTAGAAATTTTAAGGGAGCTCTGATGGGTGGGTAAGGAGTTGTGCTGCCAACCCAAAGACAAGCAGTTCGAATCCACTAGCTTCTCTTAGGGAGACAGACAAGCAATCTGCCGTGTGATTATAGCCTCCGGGAACCCGCTGGAGGATTAGTGATCAGTTGGTTCCGACTTGAAAAGCAAAACCAACAGTTAACAATTAAAAAGCAATTAGCAATTTTAATTTTTTTAAATTTTATTTTATTATTTGTGTGTTTGTGTGTGTGCATCATCAAATCAGATCTGACTGGCACAAGAGGAGATTGTCCCTCCTGCTCCAGCAGAGTATCTGGTGGATTCGAACCATATACCTCTGGGATTGCAGTGCAGCTTCTTGCCGCTAGGCCACCAGAGCTCCCTCACAATTGGCAATTTTCAAGTTCATACGTGGCTGACATGATGCTGCATTTTACTGGCCAGCTCTAGACGTGGTAAAACCGACGGCTGAGCACAGACTCTGTGTCTGAGTCTCAGCGTCACCACTTAGTCGCTGTGTGACCTTGGACTAAAAGGCTTGACCTCTCTGTGCCTCAGTTTCTGCAGCTGTAACATGAAAATGGTGAAAATATCTTCTAGAATTATCCAGAGCATCAAAGGCCTGACGAGCTCAACACGCAGTCACACTGAGCCACAGCGATCGCATGCGTGTGTCTCTCCACACACACACTGCTCAGGTGGCGTGGTCCGTGGAGAGGTACTGGGCTGGCCCAAGGGCTCCACTTACTTCTCTGGTGGCTTGAATCAGAGGCTCTTCAGGAGAAAGGTGGGCCCCCTTCTTCCGTGTGACTGGCCGCCTTGGCAAGCCAGAGAGAGGCCAGCTAGGAGTCGATCTGACTCTACGGCAGTGAGTGTGTCTATATGCATACACACAGGTGGTGGTGGTGGTGTGTACTGTCGAGACAGAACGGCCGCACAGCTGACCCTCCAGCAGGTTCTCAGTGGCACTAAGTCACCTGAGAGGAGTATGCCAGTCTCTCTCACACAGAGCAGGAGGCCCGCCGATCCACTTCCCAAATGGCAGTTTTGAAAATCCCACTTGTTCTTGGCACACCTGAGGTTCCATGAGTCAGAACTCACTCGACGGCCACTACTAACTGCACGGGGCAGGAATGCCACTTGGAAGTCCACAACGAAAGGCTAAAATGAAGCTAATTACTCTGATTTACTCCCTGGTCCTCACAGGTCCCCAATGCTCCACCTGCCTACGAGAAGCTGTCTCCAGACCAGGCACCGCCGCCCTACTCACCATGAGAGCCGGCAGGCACTTCAGACGCTGGCCTGGCCCCTCCAAACCTTGGCTCGAATCCAGTCTACATGAGATGGACACCTCCACTCTGTCGTCTCTGACAATGAAATTGGGGTCAGATTTCCGGGGGAGTAACAGCAGTACTAATCAAGCAAGAAAATGCTAAATATTTAAATGGGAAAAATGTTTGCCAATAAACCACGTAGCATGACACCCTCTAGAAATGCAGGATGGCTAATTGCACTTATGGTGGTCTCTTCTGAGGGATAGAGTTCAAGTATGACTCCCTAGGTGGCGTAGATGGTGAAGTGCTTGACTACTAGTTGAAAGGTTGGTGGTTGGAATCCGCCCAGAGGCACCTGCTGGTTCTGTGGAGGAGTTCTGTCTGCACACGTGGGGTCCATGACGAGTAGAATCCATTCAATCCACTCCCATCAACAACCCCAAAGTCAGGAGGAGAGATTTCAAACTCTGAAGGCCATTTCAATATGAGTGATCATAAGAACTCCGTAAAAGGAACAGTATCAACCTTAATAAATTTTGGTTTAAAAACCAAAATCACAAAACAACAATCCTTCTATCCAAAGACACCTCCAACTGAATTTTCTTTTTTTCCTTTTTTACATTTTTATTATTTTTTTTGTGTGTGTATACCATCAAATAGGATCTGACTGGGACAGGGGGAGATTGCCCCTCTTTGTCCAGCAGAGCATCCGGTGGATTCGAACCGCGTATGTCTGGGATTGCAGTGCAGCTTCTCACCACTAGGCTACCAGAGCTCCCTTCTTGTTTGTTCTGTTTTTAATAATTTTAAATTAACATCAAATTTGCTGATCCGAGGAGGTAGCATTTTGCAAACACGTGTTTCTTGTTTTGTAATTTCCTTCTAACATTTTAAATTGTGCTCATGGTAGTTTTCATGGGTTAAGCATTTCCTGTTTTGATCTGACGAACCCACAGACTTCCAAAGGAATGAACAAGTCTATCTTTGAGGCAGTTAAACCAGGATGCTCCTTACAAGCAAGAACGGCGAAGCTTCATCTCACAAGCTTTGCCGTGTCAGGAGGGGCCAGTCCTTAGGAAAAGGCAGGGCAGGAAAGCGGAGAGACAGAGCGGAAGACCCTGAGCAGTACGGATTGACCGTGAGGGTGGCTCAGGATAGGTCAAGTTCATGGGTCGCTGTGAGTTGTGGGCGCCTTGATGGCACCTAACAATGGTTTTTATCTAGTTGAAAGGAAAATGTTCCTGAAAGATACAACACATTTCCTCAACATTATCCTCCATCTCTGGCCTTCTCCGTTGATGGTCTGTGGCCACAGCACGATGGTGGGGACTGAGTGTGGAGAGTGATTGGTGGACAGTTAATTCTATGGCCACTGTCATAGTGCCCACTCCACCCTCCCCGCCTCACTCACCCTCTGTGGTTAGTGGCCCCCCGTGTTCCACTGAGGGACACTTCGGAGCACAGTGCTTCTCAGGGCTCAGTTTCCATCTCTTCCCTCACCTCCCCCTTGTTCACGCTTTCCCAGCTCCAGGCCTCTGCACCACCTGCTGGACCCCCAGTTTCTATCACTGTTGGGGGAGTTGTCTGTGCCACTCACAGTGACTGTGGACAAGAGAACAGAACATTGGCCTGTCCTGTGCCATCGCTTCCTGTGCCTGAGCCCAGGTTTACAGTCACCAGGTCAGCCGTTCTCACTGAGGGGCTTCCTCTCTGCCTCTGTCTCTCCACCTTTCCATGTTTCATGTCTTCCTCCTGACAACATGCCCAAAGTGTGAAACAAAGGTCTCAACATCCTTGCTTCAACAAGCAGCTCTGGTGGCTTAGTGGTAAGGAGCTGCACTGTGAACACAAAGGCAAATGGTTTGAATCCACCAGCTGCTCCACAGGGGAAAAAAAAACAAACAACTGTGCAATCTTCTCCTGTGTAATTTACTGCCTCTGAAAATCCGCTGGAAGGTCAGCTATGGGTTGGTTCCAACTTGATGGTTCGTAACAACAACATTCTGGCACTCTGGCCACAATTCTTCCTAGACAGACTTGGCCTCTGTTGTTATTATGTGACATCGAGTTGCCCACGACTCATATGTATAATAGCTCTGCACCCTGCCCTATCCCGAGCCAGTTGCACTACTCTGACACACCAAATTCCACTGCCCAGTTACCAAGTCAATTCATCTCATATGGGGTCTTCTTCTCCTGCGCTGTCCCTCCACACTTTCAAGCATGATGTTCTTCACCAAAGACTGGTCCCTCCTGGCCATATGTCCAAAGTATTTGAGATGGAGCTTCAAAATCCTAGCCTCCAAGGATAAACTTGGTTCCACTCTCTCCAAGACAGACCTATTTGTTCTCCTGGCAGTCAAGGTATGTTCAATACTATTCTCCAGCACTACAACTCAAACGCATCAATTCTTCTGTCATCTTTAGTCACTGGCCAGCTCTCTGATACATAGCAAGAAATTCTATTCCTCTGATGCACAGCAAGTAATTGCAAAGACCATGGCTTGGATCAGGCACACCTTAGTCTCTAGATGGACATCATTGCTCCTTAGCACTTTGGAGATATCCTTGACAGTGGACTTCCCAATCAATTTGTCTTTTGATTTCCTGACTGCTGGTGCCAAGAATATTGATTATGGAGCTGAGCAAGCTGAAATTGTTAACAACCTGAATCTCTTCTCTATCCATTATGGTGCCAATTGGACCAGTGGTGAGAATCTTTGTCTTCTTTATGTTAAGGTTTAATCCATATTGAAGACTAGTCCTTGACTTTCTGCAGCAAACACTTCTGGTCCTCCTTAGTATCAGCAAGATGTGTTGTATCATCTGTATAACGCAAGTTGTTAATGAGTCTTGCTCTAATCCTGATTACACACTCCTCTTCATAAAGCCCAGCCTTCTGAATTATTTGTTCTGTATACAGATTTAAAAAGTATGGAGACAGGACACATTCCCCCCCTTGCTAATTTTGAATCATGCAGTATTTCCTTGCTCTAGTCTGACAACTGCCTCCTGGTTCAAGTATAGGTTTCACATGAGCAAAATTGAGTGTTTTGGCATTCCCATTCTTCTCAAGGTTAGCCACAATTTGTTGTGATCGGCCCCAAGTCTGTCTGAATTGACTCTCTGGTTTTCAGTCAGATGAATAATGAAGGGGAAAAGCCACCACACACCCCCCTGCCCCCAAACCAAACAATACTCAAGCCAAAACCTACAACAAAGCAGCCCCCCACCTTCACTCCTGAGTTTAATTGCCCAACAAGTCAATTAAGCACCAGTTTCTTGACTAATTAGGAGGGCGCTCTGGTGGCCTGGCGGGTAAGTACTTACTGCCAATTCTAACCCTCCAGCTCCCCCACAGGGGCCAATGGGCAATCTCCTGTGTGGCTGAGGCCTCTGAAAAGCCGCTGGAGGGTCAGCTGTGGGTCAGTTCTGACTGGAGGGCAACGAGGAAAGCTACTGAAAGGAAAACGAAAGTGTGTGTGTGTGTTTGCAAGCTGAAGAGAGTTCTAGTGTTCACATGTGTGGTGAACAGTGTCACAGTTTTTTACCACATCACAGATCTGTTTCTAGAGCTGGCTGGCACCCGTCTCCCAGTCTCACTGGTTCTTCCTACAGAATCAAAGTCTCTTCAAATTTACAATCCCGGACACAGACAGCTCCCCAGTAAGCAGGGGAAGCACAGGCTTCCCCCTCATCTGTGGTGAGCAGAGATGCAGCGAACCCCATATAAACATGGAAGCACACGGGGTGAAATCCACATATAATTGTTTACAACAGATTAGTGATCAAGTGTGAAACTCTGTGCGGACCTTGCTTATTGGGTAATCTTCTCCCACTTAAACCCACCACTGTCAGCTGTGACTCACACCAATCCTACCGGACAGACAACAGCCCAGAAGTTTCCCAGGCTGTCATCTGTAGGGAAGCCAATGGCCACATTTTTTTCCTATGGACCAGCGGATGGGTTCAGTTCCTTCACCACCGATTGCTTCACCCTGCACCCCACTCCCGTGGAAGTGACAGTCACTTACCTTCCTGTTGTTGCGTGCCATGAGTTGTACAGTGTCACCTCTGGTGCACAACAGAACGAAGCCCTGCCCAGTCCTGCAGCTCCTCGCAGTCTCTGCTGAGTCAGTCCAGCCCACTGAGGGTCTTCCTCGGGGCTGACAGCTCTAACTTACTGAGCACAATGTCCCGCTCCAGGATCTGTCCCTGTACTCACATGCCCAACACATGCAAAGTCTCATCATCCTCACTTCTGAAGGGACACTTGGCTGTGTTTCTTTCAAGACAGACTTGTATATTTTCTTGGCAATCCATGAAAGTGCCTATATATATTTTTTTTTTCAATTTTTATTTTTTTATTTTTTGCCAGTGACACAATTCAAAGGCGTAGATTCTTCTGTGGTCTTCTTTATTCATTGTCCAACTTTCACATGCACTCTTTTATGAAGCATTGACTATAGGATAGGGATTTATGGAATACCAATTGAGACATTTCAACAAATGGATGAAGGAATAGCTGTGCTCACTTGTCTATGCCAAGAGATTTGAAAGACAGCCCTGGTTAATGGGAGATCCTTACTGATGATCATTCCGGAGTTACAACTGGACCAAAAAAATCATTACAATGATCAGTGGAAAGACTGAAGTTCTCAATAAATTCATTAAACTTGGACCCACAAAAAGTGCACATGGGAGTAGTAGTAAAAAAATCAAACAAGATATCTGGGTCCACAAATTTATTGCAAAGGGCTTCTGTAAAGTGCACCTCGCCCAAGTCATAAGTAATTCTGATCACCTCAAATGCAAGATGCCAAGTGGAAGCTGGACAGTGAATAAAGATGTTCCAAAAATCGATGCCTTTGAATCGTAGTGTTGACACACCGCCCCATTGAACATATAATAAATAAACTGCCAAAGGAACAGCTCTGTCTTGGAAGAAATGCATCCAGATGGCTCCTAAGAAGCAAAGATGCGGAGACTTCGCCTCATCTA